ACACACACACACACACACACACACACACACACACACACACACACACAGACGTGACAACACAACAATTCAACAGTCAAACCAGACAGCTGCTGGAGTGATGTTGACCTCGGCCCGTCCGAGGCAGAGGGACGGACAGACAGACAGAAAGAGAGAGAGCGGCAGAGTGTATCTGCGTACCGATGGCGAGTTGGGGCAGAGTGCAGCCCAGCCGCTCCGCGATTGCCTGCAGCTCTTTCAACTTCGCCTGCTGACGCCGGCCCTCCTCACTCAAGATCTTGTCCTTCAACCACTGGTAACCCTGTCGAAAACACAGCACACCTGCTCAAAAACACAGCCCTGCTCACACACTGCTGCGCCGCAGCTCCGGTGTCACCAGGGCCTGTTTTTAAACACGCGACTGTCTCCTGCTGTCTACACCTCAGCCAGGGAAACATGCCACAGCTACACTTACTGAAATACAAAACTTTGAGTTCATTATTATCATAAAGGTCAAAACATTACTGTAATTTACTTTAAGTACATCCAATTATGCTCAGCTGAGGAAAAACAGTAATGTTTACAAGTATCGTGTACATTAGAATGCTATTAGTCACAAATTAGAAACCAGTAAGAATAATCAAAAAGCCAAAAGACCACAAACATCCACAGACAACACTGAACCAAACAGGAAGCAGCACATTCCACACAAGTCACCAAAGGTACTGCACAACACCAAGATGGAGAACTACTTTCTTCTGTAGTCGACAGTCACTGACACACGATCCACAGATACACAACATGCCACTCCACTACACACATCAACGGCACAGTGTTGCATTCAGTCAGGTGTTAGCTTCTGTGTAGCGCAGAGGTGAAGACCTGTTTGACCAAAAAACTTTTTGGGTTAAAACTCTGTGTCAAAATCTTGTTTTTTCAATATTCTTAAAAAAAAAAAAAAAAAAAAAAAAAAAAGTGTTTTTCCAGATGAAATTTTCCACTGGGTTTGTCAGTGCTCACTGAATCAAATCATTACAACCGTTTCTCCTCCTCCTCAATGTTCAGTTTAGTTCCACTATGCATATAGGAAAACAAAAGTCTTAACAAAATATTGCCTGAAATAACATACTGACTAATTTAGTTGAAGTTTAAATAGTGTTGGTATCCATATTGTCCAATTACATAAAATTGCTATTGCTCTGTGTGTATGTTTGTATCGCGTGTGTGTTCATGTGCGTGCTCTAAATTGCGTTACACTGACACCAGCTGGCAAACGGTGTGGAACAACAAAGCTTGGGAAGAGGTGCACAGTGCATGGCGTCAACCATGTCACGAAAACACAGATAAGCGAGGTGTGCACAGAGTTACAGAACCTGAAAGACATAATACACACAATCAACAAACAAACAAACAAACCAGCAACCAGTAGGGAGACACAGAGTGGTGACAACAGCACAGACGATCAGATAAAGAAACCAGCAAGCAAGGTTTGACTACCTTCAGAGAGGCCCGAGAGTAGGGAGGCACCCTGCCGTCGTATTTCCCTGAGATGATACCACAGGCCAGTGGTGACCACGTCATGGCCCCCACACCTGAGAGCAAAGGACGTAACCATCATGACACCCTCACTTCCTTATAAGGTTAGAGCCCTTACTTTGTCTTTGGAAAATGAGGTTTTTGCTGTACAAGTTGAAATCTTGGCTCTCTAAAATACTATAATAATAATAATAATTTCAATTTAAAACTCTGCATTGTTTGTACAGAATTTGTGTTCTACACACATGCTGCAGTCATCTGGCAGCCGCAGCCTATAGAGGTCGAGTAGACCTCAATCAAAGCCACAACTCCATTGCTGCTCACCTATCTTATGGAAGAGCTCCGGTAGCTGCACCTCCACCTTCTCTCGCTGGAACATGTGGTACTCAGCCTGCTCGCAGATGGGAGGAATCTGGTTGAACTGTCGCGCCACAGAGTACGCTTCCTGCAGGAAATGCAAGGACATGGAAGAAATAAAAACTAGGCTCATATACAGTAGTGTGGCATGAAAGTCACAGTATAGTATGTCATAAAAGGTCATATGTCATCAAAAGAAATGCAACACAAAGTCATATTTTAGTATGTCATAAAAACTTCATAAATAGTGAAATATATCATAAAAATGTCAGACTATATACGTAGGATATACATATAGTATGCGGAACATCAATGAAGATCAGGAACAGGAGCATGTAGGATACAGCCGGTCAGGAATAAATTCAAATCTTTGCGATGTGAAGAAAAAAACTCCTTCGGCTATGTTGGAAATGAATATTTGCTCTGATTATTTTGGCTTGTTTTCTCACCATTATCTCCATTGGGCTCCAGCGGGATGTTCCCCAGTACATGGCCATGCCTTGGTTTATCACATGGGTCATTGCTCGAACCGTTTCTGCAAGTAAAAACATACAAAAATGTTAAAAGAAACCACTACCAATGCTGGAGCGGCACTGTTGTGTTTACAGAATTTTATATTCTCTGCTGTTTTACATTCTCTATAAAGCATCAGAGTCTGTGTATCTGAGCTGTTCTGTATTATTATAAGAGACGTATTTTACATCATTTGCAATCCAAATGGACTGAATGATTCAGGAGAGAAGTGGGAAAGATTATTTAAAATCAGAATGGGGAGTGATTCATACGGATGAGGGTGACATCTATTCATTGATGTAAAAATCCAGCAAGATTCTTTGTGATCTGCAACATGCTACAGGGGAAGACGAGAGCAGCCCAGCGAAATGAATAAGAGATGACAGGCATCTTCACAACGTTGGCAAACTTGGACTACAGCGTATGTATTTTAAGCAGAGAGGGTTAAGAAACACAACAAATATAAAGCCATTAGATAGGAGTTTCATTGTACAGACGTATCGGTGTGACGGCGAATGAAAACCTACCCAACTTTAATTTCCATATTTTCAGTGATCAAAGTGGCACTACATCAAGGAAAGATACCGAGCATGTTTGATAACGATCGGGGGTGTCCCAGACAAGATCAGGAGCACCAGAGCGCAATAAAACAGGAGCGTGTCGACCCTCAATCATCCTCCATCCCTCTGTCTATTCACCTTGCTGATGTGTCGTTTGTGAAAAGTCTCTCTTGACAACCGAATCAGCCTTCCTATCATCTAGTGGGCGCTTGGCTTAAGAGGGTTTCTCTGTAAACTGACAGAACATCAGGTCACCACTTCTTCCTTCTGCACTCTGCCCTTCAGCTACAGCCAGAATAAAACACACCAGATGGTCCAACTCCTGTTTTGAAGACATAAACTCAAAGCTGTCCAATGTGAACTGCGTGCAATCTTTAAAGGGCAGATGAGCAAGAGAATTGCCTCGACGTCTACATCAAACAACACCAGCTACTTCAGCCTAACAAGACACTAAAGTATTGTGAAAGAGCCGAAGCACTGAAGCATCAAGCTGAAGGCAGGAAGGTGACCTCTGACCGAACTCCGTAAACCCAAAGGGGAACTCCGACACTGGAGCAGATGCATCCTGTGTGACCAGCTGAGCCCACACACAGTTAGCGCTCTGCCATTTAAAGGTCTCCAGCATCAGTGTGTATCCTCATTCTGACTGTGGAGGTGGAAGCACCACGACAACATGCAGCATGTAAAAATAGATATTTCAGTTATAAGAGGTTTGTTTATCGGCGTCTTGGCATTGCAGTAGTCATAGAGACAGAAAAGAGGTGATTTTGTGATGTGCAATATGATAAAACATGTGTGTGAGAGGGGAAAAAAATGGTGATAATTCAAAACCAATAAAGTAGAGACAATAGTAGAATTACCTTCCATAGGTGTATTAGGGTCCGGTCTGTTCGCAAAAACCACATCCACGTAGTCTAACTGCAGTCGTTCTAGAGAAGCTTTTAAACCTAGAAATAAGAACCACAGTTGGTGTCGTAATAGTGAATCTTTGTTGTGCTACATTATTATTTTCTCCATAAAACTATCTATAAACTGCAGAAAAAAAACGTTTTATTCTACCAAAAGTTTCCTTGCAACGCCAAGAGTGTGTCAATTATAAAAATAAAAAAGAATTGATTCCCTTAAAAGCCAAAGCATCTAATTAGGAAGCATTTCGTTGCTGCAGGTTCAGCATTTAATCCAATAACCCGCGGCGCTGCTACTTACCTTCTATAATGTGTTTTCGGGATAAACCTCTTTCAGTCTCTGCTCTAAACAAACAAACAAACACGTTATAAACAGAATAACAGAACAATGATGCGACCTGGCCCCTACGATAAATGATAAATCTGACAAATGCTTTTTTGAAAGTACCCGACAACAAATCAGTTCGGATGACACATGATCCCATTACCAGAAGCATCAAACTAAAGGTAATATACAGGAGGGTCGTTTCTCAGAGTCAGAGAAGCAGCCAGATGAAACTTACTTTCCACCCCAGAAGATCTTTGTTGTTATCACCAGAGTTGAACGTCTGAAAAATGAAAACACATCTGTTACAACATCTGCCAAACACTGAGAATTATAGCAAAAAAAAAAAACCCTCATGAGTAGGAGCTGGTGAGATCTAAAGTCTACACAAACCATATATTATACGTCGTAACAGCAGGATGAAAAGCCCCGACACCCCCTTTGGGCAATTATGCGTTTCTACATCATTCTTTCAGTGTCACACGCAACCACATCCCACAATATGCAATATGTGTGACCGCGCCAGAACTCGACAGGCGGCAATGAATGAGTGTCCGTAGGTGTATAATCTGACAGTGCTATACCAATGTCAATCCAGGACCGACAAAGTAGACGACAAGGACTAGAAGTTCATCCGTTATTTAGCATCTTTGAGGAGGGACACAGGAGTGTGGGCATGGCACGGCTGCCTGCATTCATCTTTCATCTTCCTACCTTACTGCTCCAGCTCACAACACACAGCCTCCCAATATGTGCAGGGAAGGAGATGATACAAGATTAGGGATGCTGGCTGGGGCGGAAATTAACCCCCCCCCCACCCCACCAAACTCAATTCAAGTGTGCCTCATACCTCCATCCTTTCTTCTTTATGATGTTTCCGAGCACCACCTCTGCCCTGTGAAGCAGATGGAGAGAAGATTAAATACAGATAGTTTTGGAATGATAAGAGCGTTGACACCTGACTGAGGAATGATTTTACATGAAAGAAAGCAGTCCAACTCTTCACACATACTGGATGATGCATAAAGGAGCTTTCAGTGGGAAGAGCACCTGTTTAGGACTGGTGTGTGTGGGAATTAGCTGCCAGGTCAGAGCCAGCAGAGCCTTGGACCAGCTGTGCTGTGGAGGCACCACTATGTCACTCATTAGCACAACTGTGGCTGCTAATGAGTGACATTATGATCAACATGGGGCTCATTAGGGCTGGGCAGAGACCTGTCAGCAGGATCTCTCTCCAGTCCTCTTACTCTGTGTCTCACATGAAATCTATTTGGACGCTCCTTAGAGAAAAGAAACAATGCAACTACAGACATTTCTTCTGGATTCATTTTGGGTGCACTGATGAATAAAGCCAGCTGCTCTAATCGATGCAGTTTTAAAATAAATGTGTTTTATTTATTTTATTGTGTCAGAAGTGTTGTTGGAATCTACAAGGACCATCATGTATCTCACTTATGACAGCGCATTAGTGTTGCTGCTATCCTCAGAGTCTCTGTGTCGAGACAGTCGGACTTGTGGTTATGGTAATCAGAATTCTTTAAGCAAAGCTTCAAAACAATCACTAGTTTCAGCTTTTTAGGTGAGCAAATCATCTGCAGATTAATGGAATTAAACTAAATGAACCACTAGTTACTGGCGGGAAAGTTACCGCAGAGCGAGATACCCAGACAGCGAGCGAATAACTTCTGTTTTTACTTTAGGGACCGAGTGTTTAAATTATATAAAATAGATGTTTATTTGGAAAGCTTTCAGGTTTCCTGAAATTCTACAATGGATGTCACTTTCTTAATGTATTATTACTGAGAAACAAACTGTCACTCATTTTGACAAATAGAATAATAACTTAATTAATGAGGGTGTGAAATCTTTACTTAATAAACATTTAACAATTAAACATTTCACAACCTCATGTCCCTCCAATTTCACCCTGTATATATATATTTGTATCATTCTTCTCCCCGACAGGACGAGTTATTGAGGGTTAATAACTACATTATATTTTTTATGTGATTCTACACATTTTTCAGTTAATGGAATTGCATTCACATGTTTCTACTCTTCTAACCACTCAGAGCACTTTACACAACATGTGTACATTCCCACCCACATTCATACATTGATGCAAGGCGCCGACCTGCCAATCAGGATCTAACCATTCAGACACACTACATCGTGCCCAAGGACACACACAAATAAATAAATAAATAAATATATATATACGTACTGTATATATATATATATATATATATATATTGTGTCTCTTGTTTATCACGTATTAAAAAATACCGGTATGATCTGCTGATCCAAAAAGCAGCACAAGTACTACCACTAGCCATATTAGACCCTGCCAGCTGGACTCACAGCTTTTTAAACGAGCACTCAAGCACTACCCTGAGAGCAATAATGCCTGTTTGTGTGCATAATAGTGTGTGCACACACACACACACACACACACACACACACACACACACACACACACACACACACACACACACACACACACTGCACTGTGTGTTGCCCTTCTGAAACGCGAGTACTCTGGGAGCTCAAACATAAGATAGTGTGCCTTGAGCAGGTTGACTTTCTTCATTCATTCATTAATTGGGTCTTTGTTCCAGCGCCGAGTTGATGTGATGACTTGTGACAGAAACCAACAACATAATGTTGCATTATTCATGCATTTACAATATTTTATTCCTTTTAGATTTCTCTGTAATTATGCTTCCAATTTGTCACTGGTTTCAGACAATATCATGCAATTACTCTGCATCGAGAGCGAAATGCCTAAGCCTGAAATAAATGACTTGCATACTTTTAAATGCTTCGCTGCCATATGCGTTTGCTGATAACAGCAGCTCCACGGGACACACAGAGCACGTTTATTTGAGCAATTACACATTTGTATTTATATTTCTGAGACACAGAAGCCTGCATATTGCAAAGGATACGCTGGTTAAGAATCACAATCAATATCTAAATATCTGTATGTGCTGAATGTTTGTTTGATGACCACAACAAGCAAACAGCCGACTGCCATGTGTTGTGCACGAGCAGAACGAGGAGTGTGAGCGCAGCTTACAGACCTCCAGGCTCGCAACACAGAGTTAACATTACAGCAGCCGACTGTACAGCCACCAGCACCACTTTACTACTATAAGTCTGAGTGATGAAGCAATCGCAGTAAGCCAGTACCAAGGACTTCACATGAAAGCTTCTTTTTTCCCCCCATTCTGATGAGCAAAGTGTGTGATTTGTTCTACTCTGGCGTACGTGTGTAATATAAGCTCCTCTTCGCTGCTTTGCAGTGGACGTTATCTGGATTAACACCTGTGCAACACATACTGAGCTGTGTGACACGCCGTCACAAACATTTGCACGTGTCTAACTTTCTCGCAAACTGTGGTCTGTTTCATGGAGGCGCGATGATCAAAGTCGTTGTTGGTAAAACTTCTGTTTCTAAGATCAATTTTTTCTGGCCCTCCATCCGAAAACAACAGTGCAAACTGATTGTTAAAAGCCCCCCCCCCCCCGGAATACTGAAGCATGTAGTGATGACGTTCAGCAGACAACAGCTGCTGAGGGAAACCACAGAGATGCTGCATGTTTCTAGTCTTTTTGTTTTGTTTTGATTTTCTTTTCTGAGACACTCTGACGCATCTCCCCAAACATAATGGCAAAACTAGGCTATTCTTGGGAGGATTAAAAAAAAAAAAAAAAAAAGGAGTTGGTTCTGTTAATCAGAGATACTGTTTGCAAAGGATAATCCCCTAGATTATTTCAAAGCACCCAAGTTACTACAAAGCCAGATTAATCCATGCTGGTATTTGAAGCATCACTACAAATAGCAATAAGGCAGCACTAGGCTGCTTTCTGAAGTTAAAAATATCAACACTAGCTGTCCTGTAAATTTAGACTACGACTATGAATATCTGAACCCTCATGAATGCAACAATGGTGGTGATGGAAAGGACAAGCTTCATTTCAGGTTGAAGACCAAGGGTGGAGACATAAATCTGTTGCGTCCACTGTCTGCAAACTATTTAGTCTGATGGAAAACTTTTGACAGTGATCATATGGATTGTGCAGTACAAAGGACTTTATTTTAAAAGTAATTGCTCACAACTTGACTAGCTCAAACAAAGTCCTATTGTACAAGAATGATGTAAAAGCTTCTGCACGTCACACTGAAACTATTTGCATGGGTTCACACCTGGTACTCAAGCAAGAGGAGTCGGCCTTCTATATAATCTCTACCTGGTGCTTTTATGGTTTTGGTAATATGCGGTGTTGGTGCTCACTGCTCTGTGACCTGTGGCTCAGGATATACTCACTTCCCAGCAGCGTAGACTTCCGCTGTGTCAAACAGATTGATGCCATTTTCATAGGCCAGAGTCATCAGCTGCTCTGCCATCTGTTGAGAGATCAGGGGAGAAGGAACAGAGAGGGGGAAGGATGGGGTGAGGGGCCGCTGATGTGAGGTGGTAAGACTTCAATTATTAAACTTATTTCACAAGACTAAATAAGGCTTCCGTGGCTTTGCCTTCCTATAACATGTGTTTATTCTCTGACTGTGGACTCCCTCCGGCAATATGTTTTCACTATAAGTATAAATAGGCTTCTGGAGCAACCCAGGATGTGCCAGATCATGTGGAGGGTTTCCATTCCCCAGCTTTGACTGATGGAGGATGACAAAATCCATCTGCTCTCACCTCATCCGTTATTTGTCCACCGAACGTCACCCATGTTCCTACAGAGGTCGACAGGGAGGTGGGGTCAGAGTGCAAGTATATAAACATACACATGCACACAGATGAGCAAGTGAACAGTGATACTCTATATGGACCGACATTGTATAAACAAGAAACGATCTAGCTTAAAAAATTTAAAAAAAGGCAGTTTGGATCGTATATTTGAGCCGTTTTTACTGCTGGAACTTCCCACAGAACTACACTCTGTGTAAAAACACTCTTCTCTTCCTATTTGAAGATGAAGGACCATGGGGTTATGAATTCCCCTCACAAATCTGCTCGACAAATTCTTTGGCTGTGCAGCAAATGTCTCAGTGTGTCTCATGATCAAAATGTCTCTTACCTAATCCAAGGCAGGACACCCGCAGACCTGACTTCCCAAGGTTTCTGTCAAAACGGAGAGAATTACATTAGCATTGATGCAGCACTAAGGTGGCAGTGATTTGTGGTATTCTGCACTCCGGCGATGGCTATGACCATTAGAGTAGGACTTTAAGTCTCATTTGTAAATTGATTTGAGTGATTGATAAATACATAAACATCCCCATCACTCCTTTGTAATGCGAGGAAAGCCTGTTACTGCAATGGAAGCTTAAAGTTATGGAAGCTGACAAGAACAGGGGTTTTGTACGGATGTCAGTGCTGACACATCTATGTTGGACAGTAACACGTGTGCTGACAATGAGTGTGTGTGTGTGCAGTGAAATGTCAGAGAGGAATTGGGTCTTAAGCAGCCCCACACCATGACATCCACTGAAATGTCTCACAGCACACCAGGATCCCTCAGCCGCCATCTGACTAAAATCCCCCCACAGCAATACGGAAGCTTGACTACTGACAACAACATGCTCTGAAAGCTGGTGGCTCTGAGCCTATCACAGCGCAGACAGACCCCTCTGCTGACAATCACAGCATTGGGTGCGAGAACTTTTAAAATTGTTCTATGACAGCCATGGCTCCTAGTTAAAAGGCAACACAGAAATAACGGATTTGGTTGAATTTGCGGATTGTATTCTTTTTCAGGAGGAAGTTGCAGTTTATCTTCAGACTATTTCATTTTATCGCTGATCTGGGAAATGATTAAACATACACATGAAGTGTGCTACCTCTGGTCAACCTATTTCAAGAAATAAGCTGGCAGTGTAAAGAGATAAAGGAAATGTGGCATCAGAGATGATGTAACATGTGCAGGAGTCAAAGCGAGCGTGTGGGAGGATATATAATATATTTTTATAAGACCGCCTATATAGAAATACAGTTGAAAAAGAGCAGAGGGGGACAGAGGATAGGTGTGCTGTGTGTGCAGATGTGTGTGTTATAGGACTGCGCTTGTGACTGCATGTTTGTGTGTGTGTGTGTGTGGGTGGGTGTTTTGTGAAGCCATGATAAGATTGCTGAATTGCTGCGCTGACTAACAAAACACTTCAATGTGGTCTGAACACAGAGTCCCCCCAAAAAATGACTAAACCGTTTAAAATAAATATGGAAATCTCAACAGTATCACATATCCTCTAAGTAGGCTAAGTGGGCTACATTTGTGCTGAATTGAAACAACTAAAGGCTCTTAAAATGCTTTAAGTTTCTTTTTGATGCATCTCCATACACTTTCCATTATGGAAGAGTTAATCCTGTTAAATGTTCACTTTATCATTCAACCTCATTAGTTTCACTCTTTCTTCACTAAACCACCAGAGTCTCTCCTTTCATTTGTACTCTTAGTTTTCTGACTCAAGATCTATTCAAATCACAACAAAAGTCAACCTTCAGCCATCAGAGGTCTCAGTGAGATCGAGTGATATCGAAAAAAATAATGAAATCATGTCCAGTTTGTGTGTTTGCAAAGTGAAGCATTTGGGTCAAAAATATTCACAACAAAGAGCCTCATTAAAACGATACGACTTGGTCAGTGAGGTCTGTAATCGTGTTATAGTTTGAATCCGAGAGCACGATGATGTCATGTATAGGAGACGGCTGACTTATAAGCAAACACCGTCAGTCATGAGGGAGACGAGAGAAAGATAAGGGAGTCCAGTGGGACCACACATGCCCCTACGGAGCAACAGTGTAACAAGGTTAACACACGTCCCCTCTGGCAAACCACTAGAGCCGATCTACAATGAACTGCTTCTTAATTACATGAGTAAAATGCCCCCCCCCCCCGCGGGGGCCCGCTGCTCAACGTCAGAAATCAAGATAACCAAAAGCAGCTTACTGACCAAAAGTGTTAATGGAGCATATTTGCCAGTGCTTTTAATGATGAACGAAGACACTTGTCTGGGTGCAAAATAGCTTCTTCACTCAAAATTCATCTTGACTGAACCCTTTAGGAGAGTTTGTCTCTAAACACTGTCGAGTGCTACTGCACCGAGTCTGTTTCCAGCCTTGCACTCGTCCAGATTTTAACACCTAATGTGATTAAATGAATTAGTGTTGCTTAATGTGTTCATACATAGTGCACAAGCATGTTCAGAAAAAAAGATGCACAGTAAACCTGTCAGATGAGATACTTCAAACTGGGAGCAACTGGATACGCGAGCTTCCTGATTTTCACCATTTTCATCAGCATGTTGGGCTTATCACAAAGCGAAGCTCACTGTGTAAGTGCTGCACAAGCATGCTTTTAAACAATACTACTGCACATACAGTACCAGTGCATTTAAGCAAAAACAAGTAACCAGGATATCAGACTACACAGCTCTGCCCTTGCAATTGTTCTTGTTGTAAGGATGTCCCTTTGTCAGCAAATTGTTGTGTTCAATATTTCACTAGACTGGCCTTGAATACTGCATTGTGCGTTGCTGCAATGACCCTGTAAGCAGGCAGGTGTCAGGTTGCTGCTGAGCCTCAGCAGACATGAGCCACAACAGTGAAGTCATCTCTCACACCCTCGTCCGTAATGAAGGAGACAGGCACAGCACAGAACCGGACCGCAGCAGCACTGCAGCCGCAGGGCCAACACCTGATGAGACACACAGTGACCGTAGCACATGTCCAGTCTGGTTGTTTACTTTGAAATACTAGGAAACCTTTCTCGGAGTTAACATTAGCCTTCTGATCCCAATAGCCTGAAGCTCAAGTGGACAAGGCAAGGTTTTCATTTTGGTATGTTGGTTTATTTGATTAAGGGTGGAATGGAGATCTATTTGGGGCTCGTTTACACACAGGTTCCATTTCACTTTAGCGCGACACAATGAATCCTGCTCGTCTATGTCAACCTTTCAGCTCTGCGGACGACTTTGGCTGCCATTGATGGAAGCTGACTTGTGGGAAATAGTGGAAGTCGTTTTCCTTCAAGGTCAACGGGGACGGGGCATATCAGAGCTCACATGACCTTTCAGTCAGGTATTACTGATCCATTGTTTCTTATTGGGTTGTTGTCTCTGGTAGAAAAATATGAAATAGGTAAAAAAAGAAAGAAATATTCTATTTATTCTTGCCAATAGTTAGTGATATTTAAGCAGTTAACGGCATGATTCATGAGTCAATATGGAATCCATATATTATCCCATATATTCCCAATAAGCAATAAAGAAAAACAGGAGTAAATGTCGATGTAGCCAAACATTTTCTATCTATCAAAGTCTTAAACGTGTCGTTTCCCATGTCCTCGCTTGGGCCAATTAACCTTTGAAAAAAACATTGTAGCGACACTTCTCAGACCGATTAAGACAAAAAAATAAAATAAAATGGAAGACGCAATGACAAGCATCATTCCCCTTGAGATTAAAACTAAGAGTAACAGAGAGGGTGGAGCTAAATACAGCCAAATTATCTCTTGATCTTACTGTCAAACTATCAAATCTTGGCCACCTGGAAGGCTACTGAAAATAAATGTCAGCCTACATAATGAAATTGTATGCATTGCAAACCAGTGGGTCTCGATATTGTTAGCTTCAATTTACTAGCCAGTGAAAAAAACCAACAACATTATTATGCCTTTTGATCTAAATCCATTCAAAACATCCTGGTAAAGACACATCTGCTGTTCCAGCAAAAACAACAAATTCTCGGGATGCGAGTCGGTGATGAGTTCAGACTACTGTTGCACCCTTTAAATCATAACTTATACAGAGCATCAACTAAAGGCCCATTATGTCAAATCTGCTCGAATGGTAGAGGGATTTATACTACCGTAGGAGCAGATCTACATCACTTCTTTACTGATTAAAAGCTCTTTACCCATAACGCTCTGGGGGCGTGTGGAGAGAAAACAATACCAAACGTTGGCACAGTTATGTTTCAGTACAGTGTGAAAGTACAGCATCGGGAAGGTATGGAGGCGGCAGACTGAGTGGGAGAGAGGACTTGAAGTCAATGTCAGCGGACAGGACATGGTGATGAATGAGGAAACAAGGTCACAGAGCTGTAAAAAGGAACGTGTTGAGAGATATGTTCATCAAGCAGAACTATTAATACTACCGCCATCGTGGCTTCCACTTCAGAAAACAAACACAGACCGAATGCCACTAGCTCGTGTTGGCTGCAGGTGGTTTTCCTCCTCCATTAGCGTTTACGTAACATCCATTCCACTTTCAGGAAAGAGCGACGGCTGAGAATATTGGATTAGAAATGTGCTGACTAGGCAATAAGAGGAGGAAAAGTGCGAGCCACTTTGCTCTGAAAATGCTGCTTGTACACATTAACTCGGATTTTAAAAGGAACATTTGACCATTATCAGCTGAACCGTAACAAGCATGCCGTTTGCTAGCACTATTTATCCAATCCTCTTGCACTCACCTCGCTGGCATGAAGCATGAATGGTTGTGCACTTCATTCTGCAGCATTCTGCCACGAGGCTATATTTACTTGCTGCCAGCTGGATAACCTTTTTATGAAACTCAAAACAGCAAAAACTCACTTCTTGTTTCAGATCAAGCCCAAGATGGATCTGCGGGGGTGCAAGTTGTGACTGGAGGTGAATGGATAAAGACTTTTCCCTGAGAAAATGTAAAATGTTTTAAAATGAATAGTTTTGACATTTTGGGAAACGCACCCATCAGTTTTCTTTTAAAAGATTAAGTTCGAAAATCGCTAAAGAAGGAAACAATTCGCTTAGCTCAGCATAAAGACTGGAAGCAGGAGGAAACAGCTAGTCTAGCTCTGTCCAAACTAAATTTAAAAAATCCGTCTACCAACAGAGCTGCTGGCTCTAGTTTCATACTTAACAGACTGGCAAGAGAGTGGTATTGATCTTCTCATCTAAAAAAGTAAATAAAAACATTTCACAGAATGTTGAATTATCCCTTCAAGTTCACACCTCAACACAGAGCTATACCCGTGCAGAAGATCCTCTACATTGTCCGAGGCCCTTACAAATCACCAATCATCAATGTGTCTTTCAGTCCTTGAAGCTCGCTCATTACACGTTCTGTATAGGCAACATAAAA